GTCTAATAGAGCTTTCGTGTTCGTATGGTATAAATATTTATATCTCCTGTATTGGGTTTGCTTTGTCTTCGATGCCTTTTCTCATGTATCTCCTGTTGATTTGTGTGTTCTTCTCTTGTGATCGGTTTACTTCGATTTAAAAACTTTTCTACGTGAGAATTGAGTAGCAGTAACGCCTGATTGTGGCAAAAATTCTGGCTCTTTAGATCGTTAATTATGACTTGAAGATCTTCAGCTGCTGTAGGTGATTGTTCTTTATCGGCCCTTAATGCTAGCTGATCTCCTTCCAAAAGTGTAGTTGTTATTTCCGATGTTGTCGGTAAAACTAAGTTAACTAGGCATTGATTTTCTGCATTATAGGTGGTTTATTTCAATGTCCTTACCAATTCCTTATACTCGATATTTATCCGCTTCCCTTTAATCGCATCTAGCGTTCTGTGTGGCATAACTGAGTTTTGTATTATTTCATTCATGTTTATGTCCTCATCCTTCTGCTGGGCTTCCTTATGGGCCATAATTTCAACCTCTTCTTTCCCCCATCTAACTTTCCTTCCTGGTGGTTTTTGCTGTAGTATAGCCTCATGTTCTGTCGGATGAGTTCGTCTGGTATGTACCCCTAAACCTGTTTTCGTGGTAAAACCTCTGTTGCAATGTAAACAACTAAATAGTGTTTCATCAATTGTGCTGGTTATAGTATTAGTTCTACCTATGAAACTTTTGCAAGTTCTTCTGAAGTGTGACGCTATCTTGTGTATTGTATCTGCTGTGCGATTACAAATTCGACATTTATATGTTTTGTTAGCATGTGGATGTACGGATAACATTTGATCTGATCTGTGCATGGGTAGTCCCATAAAACATGTCCGAAAGGATAAATTCCATAGTCAGCTCGCCTGGTAATCGCTCATTCATGAGCGATGTTAGTTCGTCACCGAGTAGTCCGTGCGGTTTGTTTTCTTTATAATTCGCGACTTACGTTTATAGCACACGGGGTTGTCGGCCCAATGTATGCTATTGTGATTAGCTTTTTCACTGCACATCGGCAGCCAATCGTCGGTCAAAATTGACTCCTTCAATTTGCACTTATTTCTAGCAATACAACAGGTGTAATGTTGAATTGTGTTCATAATTTTGGTTTTTCGGTTCGATCAAACCAATATACAAATGTTTCGCCTGAACTCGCCACCAGCCGACTCAACCAACCAGCAAGGGTCGTTACGCAAGCATAGCATGCCAACACCATACCAGATTAGCACACCGGTATGAAAGAGGGCTCAGCCGCAACATCCACAATATAGTTGCATGGTGGTGGTGAATTAGATTATTTGCATACGATAAAATTTGCTAGGAATATGCTATTAATGTAGAAATAGCAGAATTGAGAGACAAGTACAGACAATAATAAAAAAGTAGATTGATCTTCTCCTATGTAAAATAATAAATGGACGATCCTGTTGCTGATCTTCTTACTCTGTCCATGATGCTGGCTCATATTTGCTGTCATCGTCTTCGAAATTTGTAACAAAGCATCCAAGTAATAAATAGATAGATAAACAAATAAACAAATTGGTACGCATGTAGTCAGACCCAATGTACGAGTTGGTGGTTGAAATCCCCTTTGGCGTTAGTCTCTTTGTTCTTCAAGTACATTGGCATCCTTGTAGTTGTCGATCTTGTAGAATTGCGTCGCGAAACCGCAGGTCAAGACGGCCGCAACGTGTAGCCACATGTTTTTTTCCGGGCGATACACGCAGGAGAAGTCCAGCACATAGTCGATACATTCAATTGTGGTTGGCACCACCTGGTCAGCAAGAGTCCCGTTGGTATCGTTCACACTCATCCTTGCACAGCATCTCTTCCTGCTGCAACGTTGAGATGATTCACACCTTGGGCTGCCCTCTTGCCTTGTGTCAGCACCGAAGTGGTAGCTGTTGTATATGTAGGTTATGAATTTTGATGAAAATAATAAAAATTTAATGAAATTTGAAATTTGTATAATTATCCGGAATTATGTTAATTGATGTAATAATGCGCTAAAATATGCTAATTCGAGAGATAGTCGTATTAATTTATGCGAGTGTGTGTGATTATGCTAATGCAAGCCGTTATGACAATTAGACCCTGCCTCGTTGACGAGGGTCGGTTATCAATCGGGATAATGCAATTAATCGTATGCAGTTATGCAGGTGCTGTGAGCATGTCAGATTAAACTCGGCTTCGCTGTTTAACTTCGTATTATCGATCAGTATAATACAATTATTCTCGCTTTAACATTTATTGAGTATAGATTAGTGTGTTTATATTAGGTCTCCAGATTCATATCTCAACGCAGAATACAGTTCTTATGCATGCATTTTCGGAAAGAACACACGACCACTTCTTCGTTAATCAATTTTATTTCTAACTAAACTTTAACTCTAGAAGATGCAACTCTCGGCTTGGAATTACAACACAGTATCAACACAGTCTCAACAACGACTGCGTTGTTTCACTTTGACAA